AAAAAAAAGGATTATAAACAAAAAAAACCCTTTTAAAAATCTGATTTTGGTTTTTAGCAACAACCCCCCCCCCCCCCCCCCCCCCCCCCCCGCGCGCGCGCACACACACACACACACACACGCCTCTTTACCGTCCACATTTTACTGGAGATCACAATTCCGCACTCATATCACAGCTCCGCAGTAAATGAACAACTTTCGTCTCGCAATCGGCATGGGGGAATCACACGGAGTGTAAAAGAAAGAAAGAATGGTATTGTGCAAGTTTTTCGCTCAGGGATATTGCAGATATGGAGACAGCTGCAGGTTCGAACACCAAAAACCGGGTATGGAAAGTATTAAAGTAGTAATTATAGCAAAAACAGACAGTAATAGCAGCCAGAAAATCAGTGGGATGTAGTACAGCTCGGGGGATTCATGTGTTACGCAGTAAAATAAAAGTAGAAAGTGGACTAGCTTTAACAGGATATTTAGTCATAAAAAAATATAAATTTTTGACGTTTTCAAATGTGGATCGTACCAGTATGTTTGGTAGGCAGGGTAGTGTGCTTATTAGGCTAGAGACTTAAAATTTTTACACACGAATCGATAGCTACATATGTAAATATGAATAAACCACTTAAATTTTCTTTTATCTCTTGTTTTATCTATATCGATTTGATCAAAAGTGATTTAAGTTGTAGTGACGCTGTGTCAGTCATTTTTTCAGAAACCACCTTTAAAAAGCTTTTCCTTTAAGATTTTCACTTTCAACCTTTTCTAAATTGTCAAAATAATATGGCAGCTAGCACTAGCTGTTTTTAGTCATGTTTCATCACAAGTTCAAATCAAGAATCAGAAGTTGTGAAGCAGCATGCAATATATAAACATGGGTAGAAATCTGATATTCCGGGGTTAATATTTATGGCAGTTTGTGTAAACAAACAACTAGCCCCACCCATTATAACCTGTGCTTCTTAACAGTAGTAACAATGATTTACTCAGTACAGGTAACGTTAACATGATGTCCATATATATAAGTACGGCCAGGTGTAGTAGCGGGTACAGCATAGACAGTCATGTGTTATGCAGTTAGTAATTGGGAAAGTGACTTAATTAGCGTTGCAGGATATGTAGCCATAAAATATGACATCTGCCATTTTCAATTATGGATGGTATACCTTTAGGTCTCTGACTATTTATTCAAAGTTTTCATTAAAGGATTTATTTATCACAACAGGTCAGGGTGGTGGAAGAGGTGGAAGTGGCAAATCTGTCTCTTTTCGTGATACCTTTGGCCAGAATCAGAATCCATTTAAATGGCTTGGGCAAGGACAGCGGCAGGACGGCCATCAGGGCCAGGGAACCTCTCAGCTACCCATGGCAACAAGGGACCTCAGTCCTACAGAAATAATGTAATTATGTAGTCCTGCAGTAAATGTCCAACTTCTCTTGCAACCTTCACTAAGCTGGGTGTCCCAAAAGGCTCATCCCCAGTCAAAGTATTGTTGTACATAGTCTGATCCTACTTTGATAGGACTCTTGCTAAAAGCAATCAGTATAACAGGGCACCTCCTGGCGCCGAGTTGAATACAGAAACTGGTGATTTTATGAGTACATTGGAAGTTAATTTGAAGCAAGAGGAAGTATGCTAATCTGACTATTCAGTGATCGAGAGTCTTGGCAAAGTTGAACTGATCTACGTAAACCATACTTTCACTGGGAATTAGACTTACGTCATGTATGGAAATTTAACTATTCATTAGGTCCTATACAATATGTATTAATTTTCAAAAATATTTATTTGTCATTTACATTTATATTATTTAGTACCAAAAATTTTAGCGACACTGATTCATATCACAAATAGTGGAAATCACTTTGAAGATGCTCTTTATTAATGTTTCTGTTAAATATTATTCAGGGATTTGATATCCAAAGAGATGACCGTTTGGGAGACCAGTAAGATGTGGCCCTTCTCTTGCTATACTTACAGCAAGGAGGAACCGTCTATATCAGGTAGGTTACTGTCCAGTAAAGTTGCAGAATTAGCAGAAAATACAAAGAGTTAAACAAATGAATTGTTTATTCAGCAATCCATGTAGAGTACCTAAAATATTAAATTTATTTTAATTGGTAAATCCATTCATACTAGTTGCTTTAAAAATTGATCTGGGAAATATGTTAATTTGAGGGTATGCATGATGGAAGAAGTAAGGAAAAGACGGTCAAAACTTTGATTGTGTTTCTTGCTTCATGTTACGAAAGAATCCCCTTCTACAATCCAGTATTTTCCTTTTTCCAAAAACCCTCATGTAGTTGAGATGTTTCAATGCCCATGGAACACTTGAAATTTTCTAATTTGAATTTTTTCCAGGCTTTTCTGATTTCTCACCAGAAGAGCTGAGATTAGAGGGATACCAAGCCAGAGCAAATGGAACGTGGTCTGCCTATGTAGGTTTTTATTTATTTATTTATTTATTTATTTATTTATTTATTTATTTATTTATTTATTTTATTGTAAGGGAATTAATTGTAATTTTTTTTTTTTTGGTTGTAATTGACTTATTCTATTTCCCTTTTTTTAATAATAAAAATGTAATAAAAATCATTTATTTTTTTTTTAAAGCATCATTTGAATTGTTAAAATTTAAATGTTATTTGATGTGTAGCAACAGAGAGAGTCAGAACTTGCACGTGAGTACATGGCGAGGCGACAAGAATTCAAGAAACCCAATCTCCATGTGAAACAAAAGCTGGTAAGAAGACATCTTGCACTTATTTCCTTACTTCAAACAAAATTATTAAAAGCATTATTTGTGGAACTATTGAAGGCAAAATCTTATTTTCTTAGAGGAAAAAAAATATCCTGGGCAAATCCATTGCTCAACTCATTCCTGCACTTGGATTGAATATGAAGCACCATTTCCAAGTAGATAGCTTGGTTCTTAGGGAATTATGTCTTCTGAAATTTTGGAGGAATAATTGTATTTTGGTGAGATGACGGATCAAAAATGACATATATAATGAATGCAACAAGTGTGATAATAAGACTAGTGCTATTTACGATTTGTACAGTTGACTTGCTATATACAGTTGATTATTTCATTTGATTTTATTCCTGTTTTTATTATTATTATTTATTATTATTGTGTTTCATTCTTTATTGTACCACCAGCGTTAGCGCTGGCGGTACACATGGTTTCGGTCCCGTCCGGATCGTTCCGCCGGCTCCGCCGGACGGCTACCGTTACCGCTTCTCCTCCTAGGCGGTAAGGCCCCCCGTACCCATCTCTTGGATTTAGGTCACCTATAATCTCAACTCGTTCCACGTAAAATTTGGGCTTTGTCGGTATTGGGGTCTGGGTGTGGCACTCATTGAAATGCACCCTTGTCCAAAAATGGCAAAATTAAATGCTAATTATCTACCCTACGGAAGGGGTTATGGGAAAAATTTCTACAGACGGCTTTCCAAAAGTCATATGTGTAGATTTCAAATATGCCCTTGGATTTGACCTTTGACCTTTACTTCAAGGTCAAACGGGCCAAAATTTTCAAAAAAAT